ACAGTAGGAAATGAAGCTAGAAAAAAATAAATACTGTATTAGCTTTTATGACACCTGAATAATAGTTCAATTATCGAAATGATGATGGATCCTAGTGTCACCAACCTAAAACATTCGCTACTAGTGTTAGCGTTAGTGTCAGGGTTTGAGTGTAATTTTGTTGATTTGAATTTTTTTATTTATAATTCTATTCTTTACGACCAACTTGGTCACTTTCTTTTATTCTGATTTCTTGACATGACCATAGCTATGGCATACTCTGATAGAACATTATATCGTCCATTATACCAGAAACAAATTTACTCAAGTTGGATGTTTCCAAGAATAATAAAAAATATTGCTGCATGTTTGTCACTCGCCATCTTCATTGCAATACAATTTATTCATCTAAATCAACGACATATCAATTCAAATTCCTCTCCGTCTTCTTGGAAAGTCAATCAACATAAAGTACATACCGATAATAATATTAGCAATATCATAGTTGTCATCGATGGTGATCAACAAGCAACCAGTTTACAACCTATTTACTGTAAACTAACTAAAAGAGATGAAAATGTTTATACTCATGTAATTGTTACCGGCCAAGGTCGTGGAATGAGCGGTACAAAACTATTAAGGTTGAATTCCTTATTTCCAAATTGTGATGTATCCGTATATGACCTAGAACTTCGTAAAGGTATTTCTTCAAATGAAAATATCATATCATTGGTATTTCAAGGAATAAATCGTGCATTAGATCAAATTCGTCCGGACGTTTTGATTTATATAAATGATCCTGAAAGTGAAACCGTACGTGGTATTGATGCCGCGTTAGCTGCTTCTTTTGAAACAAATAAGATTGCAAAGATTGCAATACCAAGTCAACATACGAAACACTTAATGTGGATACCTGAGTTATCGATAGAGTCGCTTAAAAGTATGTATCATTTGATAATTCTTTTTTTTTTTTTTTTTTTTATCTTTGATTTCTTGGTTCATCCCTTGTTTATTTTTTTGGTTCATTTTTTTTTGATCAATCCTTTATTTCTTATTATTTATTCTTACCATTTATTTCTTATCATTTATTCTTACCATTTATATCTATCTTATATATTTTATATTACAGACTGGAACACTCCAACAATTCAGTTACAAGTGATCACTCAAAATCGACCTCAATCTCTAGCACGCCTTATGAGATCTCTCAATTCATCCATTTATTTTGGTGATGTTGTGCATCTCACTATACACATGGATAAAGGTTCTGATCCTGTTACCATTAAATATAGTCATGCATTTGAATGGACTTTTGGTCAAAAGAACATTCGTTATCGAGTAATTCAGGGTGGTTTATTGTCTGCTGTGGTAGAATCTTATTATCCTAGTGACGATCATGATTTCGGTGTAATTTTAGAAGATGATGTTGAACTTTCTCCTTTTTTTTACCTATGGACAAAATATTCTATCTTAAAATATAGATATAGTACTGATCGAAATCTTTCTGGTAGAATGTTTGGTATTAGCCTTTACGATACAAAAGTTAGTGAATTACATTTACCTGGTCGTAGACCTTTTAACCCTGCTCTCGCTTTAAGAGGTACTATATATCCTAACCAATCTCCATATCTTAGTCAAGTT